AGAGGTCCACAATTATTATACATACATGAAGTTGAATTTTAAAAATATGATTCATACAGCAATGCAAGACATATTAAACTGAAATGTAAATGTATTACATTTCCAAGTGTATGTGAATCATTGGGACTGTGATGGAAATACATAATTTATTGACCTGCTTCCTGATGCATTCAATATTATTTTACCAAATTAATAACCTTAATAATCTTTTTTATTAATTTAAGGTCACTGTGATTGATATTACAATGTTATTTGATATAATGCTTTGGTGTCACTGTCTGTAAATCATGCTCATGAGGCATGATTATTATTTTTTTGGCTTCCTCCATCCTTGTATTGTATGTAACAGGTCTCTCTTGTAAATGAGCCTTTGAGGCTCCATGGGAACAAAACTGTGTAAATAAAGGTCTTATAATAATAATAATAATAGTAATAATAATAATAATAATAATAATGCGTGAGTGGACAGCTGGCTAGACTCTTATCATCCCTCCGCCCGTAAGAAACCTTGAAAATGTTTTGTTTTCTGTGAAGCTGTTAGCCACCTGGGTTTGGTTCTGAAAAACACTAGAGCTGGGGCACACAGGAAGTTGTGAGGAGGATGGAGGAGATTCTTACAAAATGAACAAATCATGTTTGAGTCAGAACGGGTCAGAAATGCCGACAGAACAAGACATGAATAAATTCTCTGTTGACTGTGGGTCTGACCGTTCTCCAAAGCTTTGCAGGGAATTTGATAAAATCTACACCTGATCGTTTATGAATCAGTTTTTTCTACAACGAAGACGCTGTCAGTGTTGGAATTAAATGCTTCTTAAAGGAAAACTATAAGGTATAAGTATATATTACACCTCTAGATGCAGGAAGAGGGCCAACTGCATCATGAAGGACCCCACTCACCCAGCACACACACTTTTTGCCCTGCTTCCCTCAGGAAGGAGGTTAAGGAGCATCAAGTGTAAAACCACTAAACTGAGGAACAGCTTCTACCCTGAAGCTGTTAGACTCATGAATCTCTAACCAGAATAATCACTGTGAAAAATCACATCATGTTGCTGCTGATCTGTTTCATGTTGTTGCTGATCTGTTTCATGTTGATGTGTTCATGCGTGCTCATCTGCTCACACAGACTCATGTTCGTGCTGCTGTTCAACATAATGTTTTTATGCTACTAGTGCTTAGTGTATATTTAGCTGATGTTTTTCTTAGTTCATATCTTAGAGCTTATTACTGTTTTTCTTTTACATTTTATTGTTGGATGTAATTGGGACCCTGTGTACATAATTTCGTTCCACCACATGTACCACATGTGGTGCGAATGACAAATAAAGAACCTTGAATACGTCATTGAATTGTTATTTTTTTATTAGCTGGTCATCGGAATGTTTGTGTGAGTATTTTCTGTATATCTTACTCCTAGGATAATGTACGTACAGGAACATACATTTTATTTTCAGATACATTTAGTGGAATTATGAGGTGCTAATCAAATATTTAAAAATAATTATTAATTCATAAAAATACACAAGTATTTTTAAATGGATGTGGCTTTAAGTACTCAATCCTATGTTCCATTTGAGTTACAACAGTGATTTGTTCAAATGGACCTGATCGGAAATCATCAGATAAAGTATGCTTTATTTTATCACAGTCATATTCATTTGAAGTCTGGATTGTTCACGCAAGTATTCAAGTTGATTGATTAAAAAAAATTAAAAATAGTACAATGTGCGTTATTGTGAATCACTTTACTGATAGTCTGCTAGAAGGAGCGAACATATTTCTTTGGTTTCAGCTTTTCTCCATTAACTGACTATGTGTCGAACCCAAAATCTTACTTCTAACATACAAAGCTCTCAACAACCTAGCTCCATCTGATGTTAAAAATCTTATTGTTCCATATTTTCCTAATGGAACACTTTGCTCCCAGACCGCAGGTTTCCTTGTGGTTCTTAGAGTTTTCTAAAAGTAGAACGGGAGGCACATCTTTTAGTTTTCAGGCTCCTCTCTTCTGGAACCAACTTCTATAGTTTCTGTCTGGCTCTGTTTACTTTTAAGACGAGACTTAAGACTTTCCTTTCTAATAAATCCTATAGTTGGCTTAGGCTTGGGTTTTCTGAGCGATCCCTTAGTTATGCTGCTACAGGCTTAGGCATCGAATTCTGATTAGACAAAATGAAAACATTTCCTCACTCTTCTATCTCTGCAGGCGCTACTCTCTATGTCTGTATTTCTATCATTAACATGTTAATGTTCATCTTTATTCCCTTAGGAACTACACCTGGACCGGTCATCCTGTGTTTGTGTCTCTTTTGTGTTGTCTCTAATCTCATCAAGGCAGATGAGATGGTCAGTTGCCCAACTTGAGCCTGGTTTTGCTGTAGGTTTCTTCCTGTTAAAATGGAGTCATTTCTTTCCACTGTCGCCGTTGTGCATCTTGGGCTAAGAGATTGTGACAAAGTGAAGATTCACCATAGCCTTTTTAGATGTATAACTTTTAGTAATTGGGCTTTTATAATGTATGTGAATGTTTTTGTACAGTGCCCTGAGCTGACTTTTGTCATGAATTGAAGCTCTATAAATAAACTGCATTGAGTTGACGCAACAATGTGTGATGAGATTACTGGTGTTAAACATATGTTGGAGTCCAGATGTGACTGTCGGTGTCAGGAGACTTGATGGATGCCAGGCAGGGTCAATGACATTATCTTGTTGAAGTTCCATGAAACATTACAATTGTGTCTAGATTGATTAAACTCACACGTGGTGCACAAATGCTTGTGCTCGTTTGCACAATAAATAGATTTTACGCTGAAACCATAACACTGCTGAGACAAATTGAGATAAAACGCACAATCAAACAGAAACAATTTATGAAAGACTGCTTGAGATTGACATATTTTTTTTTATTCCCGTATACAACCTTTCACAGATGTTCTAATATACTGTGGTTGGTGTGCAGCTGAAGTCTTATTTACAGCATAAACTGAACTTGAAAGCAGCACTTGGTGTCATAAATTGTCATAAATTAGTTTGCTTCCCATGACACCTGCTGGCCTGCGGTGCAGCTAACCTCGCATAGTACATCATACCGGATTTAAAGTATGGCTTTGTAGATGAAGACTCGTTGCAATGTCATGAAGACTGGGCAATTTTTTTTCCCATGAAGTAAGAAACAAAATCTGATTTTTTTTTCCTCATGTTGATAATTAGTCATAACAGCTGTACAAATACACATTTTTTTTCAATGTTGAATTGAATTTTTTGTACAAGTGTGATAAAAAACACTACTATCACATACCAAAGGTCTATCCTATAATTTGTAGTAAATGAGTGAGATCAGTCGTGATTTGTTGCCAACAATTACAAGTCTTTTGTTTACATTTGAACACTGACGAAAGCAAAAAGTTATAATTTGTTTATCTCCGGAAACAGCTGAAAATGTGTCATGGGTTATCCGTTTTACTGATGCACACAGTCAGGCACGATGTCTCCAAATGCGTTCATTTCTACTTTCGGTACCAACAAACGTGAACACAACGATGAAGCATCAAACTCAAGAATAATTTCCAGTATTCTTTCGTCAGGTGAAAAGGCTACAATCAGTGATAGTAACGAACATACGCAAATAACTACATTTGCTCAGATGTCAAAGTCTATCTAGATCGCAACGCATCGTTAAAAAGGCCTGTGGTGGAGCTGTTGGAGAAGCCTTGGGGATTTTTGAGGTGCTGGCACCTATTAATGCTCAGATTTGCTGAGTAACGTACGCAGATAAAAGTGTTTTGTTTACATTACATGCGTACCCACATTTCATACCCAGACATCAACTAATCTGGAAAAGTACACTCTTTGTAACAGCCCTGTTTGACACAGGTTGAAGGTTTGATTCCAGCCGTTGATGAGCAGCTTTAAGGCTGAGAAGTTGATGAAACCGGTGCGACAGGAGGCCTGCAGCACTGTCGGCATGCACTCTACCTGCGCCAGCGCCACAAAGGAACACCAGTCTTTTTGACTTTTACAGTCCTGTCCACTTATCACCAGGGGGACACTCTGAGTATTATGGTCTGTCACCAGAGGACCTGAGCTCCCCTGGAAACCAGTACTTTTTAATTTAAGAAACCAGTACTTTTTAATTTAATTTTTTTGGTACCTTTTTGTCTTTTTAAGTGTTGCTTATTATGGGATGCAAGCTGCCACTGCCAGAGTATTATGGTCTGTCCAGGGTGGGGGGGTGTCACCATGACAACGGGGTTGCTAAGGGGGCTGGGACTGCTAGTGGAAAGGGGAAGGAGTGTGCGTGCTATGAGTCTAGTCCTAGTAGTGTACGCGTGTGCGCGCGCGTGGTGGGGGGGGGGGTGGGGGCAGGCTGAGTATTATGGTCTGTCCGTTGCGAGGTAACTATGCAGAGTCCTGTGCGAGTGTGGGAGGGAGGGGGGATTATTATGGGATGTCTGCCCCCTTTGTGTGTTTGTGAGGATGTTAGCTAAGCGCTGCCTGTAAGGTAGGGGGGGACGGAGCCGCGTGTTTTGGGTCATTAAAAAAACAACAACAAACATATCACACCGGGATTAATGAATGGACACGAAACGACAACAACTGGAGCTCAAACAGTTTAATTGGTATTAATTTCCGTGCCGAAATACAGAGATCTCCCCACGCCGGGTGTCCACGCACTGACTGTACAGTAAGTTTCCAATGTGCGAAGGTAGGAATGCGAAAGCTTGAACTTTTCCCTTGATGTGTTAACACGAGGCAGCGTGCTCGTTACATGATCACTCTTGAAGTGCCGCTGAATGTCACTTTTCTGCTGAAAAATCCGCCGCGCGACAAAAATGTCAGAGCGAGAATAATCTCGTTATTCAACTTGTTTGAGTGGACAGGTGGACAATTAGACGGCGTGTAAATAACAAACAAACGTGGAGGCTATAACCTGTGCAATGTATCATTATTTATTTATTTATTTTCTCCAGCAGACCTCCCCCCCCCCCCCCCCCTCTCCCTCCCTTCCTGGACACCCCCGGTCCATTCTCCCACCAGTCCCACGTCATTTTCCCTCCTCCCTCGCTGACCGAGGAGCAAGGTTTACGAGGGATTAATTCGACCAGCAAGACATCAAATTAAAACGCTGAGGGAAAATGTCTTGCAGCGAGGATGAGAGGGAAGACTTCGGAGCCGCCGACGAGCACTCACTTGTCCCCGGTAAGCACCCCTCCTCCTCCACCCGAGCGAAGAAGGTCCATCTCGGTAAGTTGAGCTCGCCTTCAGCGCGATGCTAACGGTTAGCTGAAGCTAGCTCCGAGCGGTCGGCTCGTCACTCGTCATGGTAGATTTAGTTAGCTAACTCGGAGGGCAAGTGTTTAGAGTTTTACTACTTTATTGTTGTTATTGTTGTTTCAAACCCGGCCCACCAGCGTCTCATCGCTCGGCTGTGGGCGTGAACTGTCAAAGTTTCAAAGACAAGTTTCAACCTGCGCTGTTGTGGCATTTTATGGCAACGGTTGTGTGCGCGCGTGCTCGGACAGTTGCCAGTCGCGCGGACTCCTTGTTTTTTTTTTTTTTTTCCTCACTTCCGGCCTGCAGCAGCAGCAGCGCCGGTGTTTTCTGTGCGTGTGTAGTCTCTAACCCAGCCGTGTCTTCGACAGACGAGGACGAGCCGGAGGATGCTGTCTCTGACGTAGACGAGGTACCCAAGTCGAAGAAGAAGAAGAAAGCCAAGAAGAGCAGCAGAGAGAGCAGGAGCAGCAAAAGGCAGAGACCCATCCGAGAGGTGAGCTCTGCACTGTCAAAAGTTTCTCGCCTTCAAAATGCTTTCGCATCAAACACGAGAAAATCACGTTTAATTCAAGCTTGACGAATCACCATAATCTATAAAATAAATAAAAAATTGCAAGGAAAAAAATGAGTACATTTGGTTTCTCATATTGATGGACTTGTGTCCTTAATTAAAACAACAGTAGTTACAATTTGCTGACAACTTTTTAATGGTAATGTACATTGTATCACCTGTTTGTGATTGAGAAGTGTGATAACTGATGTTTTGGGGTGGCACAGTGGCTCACTTGGTAAGAGTTTTTTGCCTCTCACCGAGAAGGTTGCCGGATCGAATCCCAGCTGGAGGCCTTTCTGGGTGGGCTTTGCATGTTTTAGTGTTGTTGTTGTTGTTGTTGTTGTTGTTGTCTGTAGTTCTCTGCATTTATCCCATCACAAATTAGATACAGTACACCCAGATGGAGCAGTGGGCAGCTATGCAAGTGTCCGGGGAACATTTAGGGATTGGGTGTCTTGCTCGAGGACACCACAACCATGTTGAACCTGAGAGTTGAACCTGCAACCTTCTGTTTCCAAGTCGGCTGCCCTACCTACACCATCTTGGCCCCTATAAATAGCACCTTCTCTTAATGGATCAACCAGTTTGCTGGTGATAGCCAAAACTAGTTGTTCACATGCTAAAAGGGGGACCATCAACATAACAACTGATTGTTAGTGCCCTAACAATCATTAGTGACATAACGATCATTAGTGACCTGATGACTGCATGCTATTCACAGAGGGCTGAGTGATACTTGCAATGCAAATAGTACACACAATGCTGTTATTGTAAGTAGCCAGCCTTGTACAGTAACATCCAATCATCCATTATCTTTACTCGCTTCTTCCTTTTCGGGTCACAGGGGTCACTGTTGCCCATCTCCAGCAGTCACTGCGTGAGAGGTGGGGGACACCATGGACAGGTCTCAAGTCCATCACAGGGACGCAGAGAGACAAATGAGACAAACAACCATTCACTCTCACTCACACCTACAGAAAATTTAGAGTTACCAATTAGCCTAACATGCATGTTTTTGGCCTGTGGGAGGAAAATGAAGTACCTGGAGAAAACCAACGCATGGATGGAGAGATCATGCAAATTCCACCCAGAAAGGCCTCAGCTGAATTTTGATCCGGCGACCTTCTCGCTGAGAGGCAACAGCTCTACCAACTGAACCACTCTGCCACCCTATACAGTAACATTACTTCTACAAATGACAAAACCAAATTATGTCTTCTTGATTACTAATTTTAAAAACCATGTAAAGAGCCACATCTTTTATTCAATTAGTAAATTGGTTCTGTATCTTGCAGGAATTGCCAGTCAGCTCCCCAGAGCACCTGATTGAAATGGAGGTGGCAGAGAGGGATTTGGATGAGGGGGTTATGCGGTCAGAGAGTGAAGGAAGTGATTATGCCCCTGGCAGAAAAAAGAAAAAACGCTCCAACTCAGCTAAAGACAAAAAGAAAGGAGGTGGGGCAGGAGGCGAGAAAGGAGGCTCAAAGAGCAAACGTAAAGATCCAGAACCAGACAATGATGATGACGATATTGATGATTGCCAGGTAAAGTTTAATTTAAATTCAAAGTATTGTGGTTCCTGCGTGACTTACTTTGCTCCGGTTATTCCTTTCAACTTCTCCTTTCCGTCTGCAGCCTAAAAGCTCCACCCAGCTGCTGGAAGCCTGGGGCATGAAAGACATTGACCACGTCTTTACACAGGAAGACTACAGCTCCCTCACAAACTACAAGGCTTTCAGCCAGTTTGTCAGGTGGGAAAACCCATTTTCCAAAGGGTCTAGATATAATCTTTTTTTTTTCTACTTTTTCATTAAATATGTAAGTGTATATAAAACATTTTAAAAAGTCAATAGCATATCTTGTCCTCTGTGTGTACTTAGGCCTTTAATCGCAGCGAAGAACCCTAAAATTCCTGTGTCCAAGATGATGACTTTAATGATGGCAAAGTGGCGAGAATTCAGCACAAATAACCCACTCAAGGTATTGCAACTCAGTTACAAACAAAGAACTTTGCTATTCTGTAATACTTTGTACTTTTGAGTTAAAGAGAATACATTTCTTTGTGCTCTGCGCTCCTGAAGGGTTGTGCCACTGCTAATGCAGCCCTGGCGGCTGCCAATGTGGCTGCAGTTGTGGAGAGCATGGTCGTTTCAGGGAACGATGGAGGAGCAGAGACTGGCCCTACCGCATCCCCTGCATCTACCCCTGCTGCTCCTGCTTCTGCTCCTGCTTCTGCTCCTGCTCCTGTACCTGTTGCACCTCCAGCAGCTCCAGCACCTCCTCTACGCAAAGCTAAAACCAAAGAGGGAAAAGGTAAAGATGGAAGGGCAGCAAAAAAAAAGATTTTTCGTTGTTTTATCTGTGTAACTTTAAAATGCAAGGTTTTGGGTTTATATGTAATATTAACATTATATCTATTTTTTGTTTTTATTCTGTCTTTCCTCAGGCCCAAATGCTCGTAAAAGGTCGAAGCCTGCACCTAAGCCTCCTCCTAAACAGAAACCTAAGAAGGTGGCTCCACTCAAAATTAAACTAGGAGGCCTCAACAGCAAGAGAAAGCGCTCGTCTGTAAGATAACAATTCTTTTTTTTTAATTCCCTCTTTTATTATTATTATTTTTTTTGGGTTATGAGGCCCGTAGCTTATCCCAGCTTGGTGAGAAGCAGGGTACTTCCTGTAGAGGTCACCAGTTCATCACTGAGACAGACACAACAGACAAACGCACAAAGACATGACTCCTGTTGAAAACCACTAGTTAATCGAATATGTGTGCTTGTATATTGTTTTCTTTTACAACTGTATTTACATATTGATGTATAGTAATAAGGAGTTGGTTTATTTTTTTTTGATTAGAGTGATGAAGATGAACCTGACGTTGACAGCGACTTTGATGATGGGAGTTTCTCGGTGTCTGATAGCTCCAACCGCAGCAGCCGTCTTAAGAAGAAGTCCAAGAGTGCCAAAAAGAAGAAGAAAGGTTTGTAAAGAACATATTAATAAAGTAAAATGTTTGGTTTGTTGTGTGAATTTTCATGCGAGATATAAGCACAGTCTGCAGTCTAATGTAGGAAGATTTTACATTTTAAATAAGATCAAGTAAGGCAAAGTAAGTCATTTTTATTTATATATCGGTTGCTTTTTTGTCCTCCTCTTTTTTAGTAGAGACTGAAGATGGTGATGGGTATGAGACAGACCACCAGGACTACTGCGAAGTGTGCCAGCAGGGAGGGGAGATCATTTTGTGTGACACCTGCCCTAGAGCTTATCACATGGTTTGTTTGGACCCTGATATGGAGAAAGCACCTGAAGGCAAATGGAGCTGTCCACATTGTGTGAGTTTCAATCTTCAGACTCCAGTGAGACCTGTAGGTCTGATTCAGGATGTATGAAACAGCAGGAGTACATCATAGCTGTCTAACATTTCAGTGTAAAAGTAAATCAATCAGACTTTTATAGGTTTGATTTAAACCAGTTTTTATGTTCTTTGTTTCTTTTTATTTTTTGCTGCCCACCCCGTTTGCTTACGTTTTTGTCTTATCCCACCACACTGTTCTATGTTTCTCCTTTGCTCCAACTCAACTTGCAAACATGCACACATATCCAATGCACACTGCACACCATCCACTCCTTTCATGCCTGACCCCCCACCCCCACCCACTTCTTCTACTTTTTTTTTTGTTCCGTTCCGCATACCTTCCCTGGCTGTCCACCCCCACCCCCTTCTCCTCTTCCTCTGCACACACTCACACCATCCACTCCATCTGTCTGTGATTCTGGCACCAGGAGAAGGAGGGGATCCAGTGGGAGGCCAGGGATGATCTGTCTGAGGCTGAGGGAGAGGACGACGATGACAGGAGAGATGAGGGAATGGAGGAGGAAGACGACCACCACATTGAGTTTTGCCGTGTATGTAAGGATGGTGGAGAGCTGCTCTGCTGTGACACTTGCCCCTCCTCCTACCACATCCACTGCCTTAACCCACCTCTCCCGGAGATCCCCAACGGAGAGTGGATCTGCCCCCGCTGCAAGGTGAGTACTGTGCACTGGCACATCTGCGCATGCTCAAATGGGTTTGCGTCTAGATTGCAAATTTCACCTTGTGCTTGAGGAAGCTTTTTTCTGTCTCTCCAGATTTGTATACATTTATTTATAATGTTTTAAATAAACTGTGGCAATCATACAGTTTACAGTTTGACCAAACATTTTTTCAACAACAGCATGTTTGTTTTTCTAAGCCCAAACTATTTTGTTGTTTCAACAGTGTCTGCCAATGAAAGGAAAAGTGCAGAAGGTTTTGACATGGCGTTGGGGGGATCCTCCACCCCCCATGCCTGTCCCTCGGCCTGCTGACCTGCCTGCTGAAGCTCCTGATCCCCCTCCTATGGTGGGCCGCAGGGAGAGGGAGTTCTTTGTCAAATGGTGCAATATGTCCTACTGGCATTGCTCCTGGGTGCAGGAGTTACAGGTACAGAGCCTTTGTAAAAATGTGTTTACACTTGCAGATGAAAACATTTTTTTCTTTCTGTGACTCTTTGTTTAAGTGTGAGACAGCTTTGTCTCTTAAAGTTTTAACCAACAAAATGTGCACTTTACACTCTTTTATTGCTTTTCCCCAGTTGGAGCTGAACTGCCAGGTGATGTTTCGTAACTACCAGAGGAAGACAGACATGGATGAACCGCCACCTGTAGACTTTGGAGGTGAGGGTGATGATGATAAGAGCACCAAGAGGAAGAACAAAGATCCTCTTTTTGCCCACATGGAAGACGAGTTTTGCCGCTTCGGAATTAAGTTTGAATGGTTGATGATCCACCGCGTACTTAACCACAGGTGGGAGGCATATCTGATTCAGTATTTAGTGTGCTGGTTGTCACTTTATTAAATTAAATACTACAAATGCACATAATAGTATAAAGATGTAACACATTCTGTTTCATTATTCTTTGCCATTTTGTCTTCTTTTGTTTTAGTGTTGATAAGAAGAACAACGTTCATTACCTAATCAAATGGCGAGATCTACCGTATGACCAGTCAACCTGGGAAAGTGAAGACATTGACATTCCTGAATATGATACATACAAACAGATATACTGGAATCACAGGTATATATTGGTTCAGGAGATGTTATGTTTGTTGTTGGCATAAATTATTAGTTTAAGTAAGATTTTTTTTCTCAATTTTGTGTGTTGTTTTTCTGCATTAGAGAGCTGATGATGGGTGAGGAGGGGAGACCTGGCAAGAAGCTTAAAAAACCTGTTAAAGTGAAAAAGGCAGAACGGCCACCAGCTAATCCGGTTGTAGATGTAAGTGTTTTCTTTTTGTATTTGAATCAAAAGGCTTCACCTGTCCAGTTATTTAAACATTAATTATTAGTATGAAAACTTGTTAATTAATTAAAAGTATTACGAGTGTGAATTCCCTTTTTTATATTGTTTTTTTTTCTTCCTGCCAGCCCACTATAAAGTTTGATCGACAGCCTGACTACCTGGACAGTACAGGAGGCACCCTGCATCCCTACCAGCTGGAGGGGCTGAACTGGTTGAGGTTTTCTTGGGCTCAGGCCACTGACACGATCCTAGCTGATGAGATGGGTTTAGGCAAGACTGTTCAGACGGCCGTCTTCCTGTACTCGTTGTATAAGGAGGTGAGGAACCCAAATGACACTCTGTTTAAAAACTCACAAGGTTAAACATATATTTTATTGTGAAATAACTTTTCAGAGTTTTGGAAATGGGATTCTGTGGAAACATCATAAGCGATTAATAGCTTACCTGTTGCAGATAGTTTGTTGATCTGCTTTAGTGTAGGCTCTGCTCAGATGAGCCATTAGCTAGTAAATCTATTTTCTGTTTCCCCAAACTGAAACCATTCTGAGACCTATCAACCAAAAAGGCATTAAATGTCAATAACCTTCAAACAAACCATATTTAAAAAGATCTGAACTACTCCTTTAACTATAAATTGTTAAATGTTACCATTTTTTGGGCGTATTCTACTTACCTCCTCTGTCAGTCAGCATTAGTGGTTAGGATTTCAAACACAGTTTTTATGTGGGACTTCTGATATTCGAAATAGTAAATATTTAAGGGATTTGCTGTTTGTGCTAATGTTATTTCTGCTGTCACAGGGTCACTCCAAAGGTCCATTCCTGGTCAGTGCTCCCCTCTCCACCATCATTAATTGGGAGAGAGAATTTGAGATGTGGGCCCCTGACATATACGTGGTTACGTATGTTGGGGACAAAGACAGCAGGGCTGTCATCAGAGAAAATGAGTTCTCCTTTGAGGGAAATGCCATCAGAGGAGGGAAAAAGGCCTCTAAGATGAAGGTAGGAAGCAAAAAATACCAAAGCCAATAGAAAACATCAGTTTTAGTTTAGCTTTTGCATTACCAGTCGAATCAGTTCCTTGTAGCTGTTCTAGTGATGTTTCTAATTCTTTTCTTGCTTGAAAGTGTAACTTAAATCCTGCTTCTCTGTGCTTTGCAGAAAGACTCAACAATCAAGTTCCACGTTCTGTTGACATCCTATGAGTTGATTACCATTGATCAGGCTGTGCTGGGCTCCATCGAATGGGCTTGTCTGGTTGTTGACGAGGCACACAGACTCAAGAACAACCAGTCAAAGGTAAGGACATACTTAAAAAAGGCTTATTGGTACTTTTGCGCTGTGTTAAAGATGGTATTTTTTACATAATTTCTTTTCTCAATCTTTGTCTATTATTAGTTCTTCAGAGTGTTAAACAACTATTCACTGCAACACAAACTTCTGCTGACTGGAACGCCTCTTCAAAACAACTTGGAGGAGCTTTTCCACTTGCTGAACTTCTTGACCCCAGAGAGATTCAAGTTAGTAGCTCCATTTTTAAACAAATAATTTTTCAGTTCACAGAACTGAACTGAACTGCTGTTTTTTAGAAGCAACAATGACACCCACAGGGTGCCACAGGGAGTTTTATAATATTAATTATTTCTTTGCAGTAACCTCGAAGGGTTTCTGGAGGAGTTCGCAGACATTGCCAAAGAGGACCAAATCAAGAAACTCCATGACATGTTGGGACCACACATGCTCAGGAGGCTGAAGGCTGATGTGTTCAAACACATGCCTTCTAAAACAGAACTCATTGTTCGAGTGGAGCTGAGCCCCATGCAAAAGTAAGAGGCTTCAAAATCATCCAACCATCACATCAATTGCGTTGTCATCAAATTTTAAACGTGTAATTTCAGATCACAATCTTTCTAATTTGGTTTCCCATACTAATCTTTTTTTATGATCCAGAAAATACTACAAATTTATTTTAACTCGTAACTTTGAGGCCCTAAACACTCGAGGAGGTGGAAACCAAGTGTCGCTGCTAAACGTTGTGATGGACCTTAAAAAGTGCTGCAATCACCCATACCTCTTTCCAGCAGCTGCTACAGTAAGTTTTCCACACAGTAAAATGTTGCATCATTGAATTATATTCACTTCTTGATGCATGTATAAGACAATACTTTCATGATGAATTCTTATTTCAGGAGGCTGCAAAACTTCCAAATGGCATGTACGAGGGCGCTGCCCTGACCAAAGCTTCAGGGAAGCTGATGCTGCTCCAGAAAATGATGAAGAGGTTGAAGGAGGGAGGCCACAGGGTTCTGGTTTTCTCCCAAATGACCAAAATGCTCGACCTTCTAGAGGACTTTTTGGAGAATGAGGGATACAAATATGAGAGGATTGATGGAGGAGTCACTGGTAACATGAGGCAGGAGGCCATTGATCGCTTTAACGGTGAGATGTGTGTTCGCACATCTGTCTTTGTCTCTCAGGAGAATCTACTTGCTATTAGTTTTTTTTTCTCCCTAATTTGAAATCTGCTCTTCATCCCAACAGCTCCTGGTGCTCAGCAGTTTGCTTTCCTCCTCTCTACCAGAGCTGGTGGTTTGGGAATTAATCTTGCTTCTGCTGACACAGTTATTATCTACGACTCTGACTGGAACCCTCACAATGACATCCAGGTAAGCAAACCACCTCACAAATATGTCTGTCTGTTTATTTGCATTCTGGTTGATCATTCTAATGTCCTTTGCAGGCGTTCAGCAGAGCTCATCGTATTGGCCAGAACAGGAAAGTGATGATCTATCGCTTTGTTACCAAAGCTTCTGTCGAGGAGAGGATCACACAGGTCCGTTAAAATCAGCAGTAATTAGTCTTATTGTATTGGTTATGTCAGGATTTCATAATCACCTGCAAACTGCTTGCTTGTGTTTAATCTACTTTTCTTAATCAGGTAGCAAAGAAGAAGATGATGCTCACTCACCTTGTAGTGCGACCTGGCCTCGGCTCTAAGACTGGATCCATGTCAAAGCAGGAACTTGACGACATCCTCAAGTTTGGAACTGAAGAACTGTTCAAGGATGAAGTTGGAGAAGGTGACATATGTGTTTTGTTTAATAATTTGACATCTGTCCTGAGAATTGGATTTTTCTGGTGAAATATTTTACGGTGCTATTTTCTTTCCACCTATTTTCTCTCCTTTTTCTGAATTGTGCCCTCAGGTGACAACAAAGAGGATGACAGCAGTGTGATCCACTACGATGATCACGCAATTGATCGCTTGCTTGACAGGAACCAGGATGCCACAGAGGACACTGAGCTCCAGAGTATGAACGAATACCTCAGCTCCTTTAAAGTGGCCCAGTATGTGGTCAAAGATGAGGACGATGAGGTACAAAAACATTTTTGCATACATGTTTACCAGTAATAAAAAAATAATCAAGTTTTGGGGTTATTTCTAACGTGTCTTCCCATGTGATGTATTTTTTTTTTAAGGAGGAGGAGGTAGAAAGAGAGGTGATCAAGCAGGAGGAGAGCGTTGACCCAGACTACTGGGAGAAGCTGCTTCGGCACCATTACGAGCAGCAACAAGAAGACCTCGCTCGAAATCTGGGCAAAGGCAAAAGAACTCGAAAGCCAGTCAATTACAATGACGGCTCCCAGGAGGACCGAGGTATAAGACAGGGTACAGAACAATATATAAAATAACCTCTTCTTGTGCGTGTGTGCTGTGCTGTCTTGTGTTTGTTTGTTGTTGTAGCATGTCAAAAGCATCATGCATGTTGTTTTAATGTAACTTTGTATTTGCTGTTAAAACGTTAGCTGCAGTTGACTAGAACCCTCATGTTTGTTACTAAGTTAAAAATGAGCTACAGTTCTCTGGGGGACAAAAACAGACGAAGACTAACTATTTTTGATTGTTGTTAAAAGTTCTCCAAACATATTAAATCATGTAAAAATAATTATTTAATTATTGCCAATAATGAGCCATAAGGCCTTTCTGTGTTTACCACCAGTTTTTCTACGCACACTATAAATGTGTACACAACTAATGTTTAATTAAAAACAGCACAATTTAAAATGTTAATTTTGTTGAAGAAAATATGGAAGAAGATTAGATTTATTTTTTATTTGTTTATTTTAAATTATGGAGAGAAAAAAAAATCACAGTGGCCCCAATCCTCTTTAGTAAAAGTAACACTAGGCTCACACTGCAGGTCTTAGTGTTCAATTAAAATTTTTTTGCTCAGATCCTTTATTTTTTTTGTATGGTCAATCACATTATAATTTAAATGCAATTGTCATCACACTCCAGTGTGAACAGTCTATGGTCTTGACATGATTCACAAACACAGAAGAAGATGTGACATCACATGCAGCTCATTGTTTACAAAGCAAATATGGATGCTACACATGTTGGCGTGTGTGCATCAATTCTGAAGTTGTTGTGGAATCTGAGCCAATGATTTATCATTAGCCTCTACTTGTTCTGTCCAGTTCTTACCTTTGATCTTTCCACTTCCTGACTACTCCAGTGCAAAATTGCACTTCTGAAATGGGACTGATGTACTGAAAGTAGATAAAACTTAAATTTTGATCCCATCACTCTAGTAAAGACACGATCCAACACCATGGTTAGTATCATATGTTGCTGTAGATTTTCAGTCATCTATTCATCCATCGATTATCTTCACCTGCTTCTTCCTTTTCGGGTTACAGGGGTCACTGGTGCCCATATCCAGCAGTCACTGTGCAAGAGGCGGGGGACCCTGGACAGGTTGCAAGTCCATCACAGGGCCACATAGAGACAAACGAGACAACCATTCACTCTCTCACTCACACCTAGGGACAATTTAGTTACCAATCAGCCTAACATGCATGTTTTTGGTCTGTGGGAGGAAACCGGAGTACCCAGAGAAAACCCATGCATGCACGAAGAGAACATGCAAACCCCACCCAGAAAGGTCCCCTGTCTCATTCAATTAGGACATAGAAGAAAAATAAAAATGAAACAACAGGACTTTTCTGTAGCTGAAGACATGCAGAGAACTGTATGATGTTATCAGCAATATCAGTATTTGGATGGATCCGCACACCTCTTTGCAAAAACATCAGATTTGGACCACTTTTGCTTATCTGTGAATGTAACTTAACTTTATACCCTTTCTTATGTATCCTTTTGCTTTTAATATAAGTTAATGCACACATACTGAAATTGAAACCCCTTTTATTAATATTATTCTACTTTCTCCACTGGTCTGGATCGATCAGCTGTGACAAAATAAAATTAAAAGCACAAAGTAAAGACATTTCTTACAAACCTTTCTTCATTTTCACCTCAGTGGTTCTCACACATGAATTAATTTCTAAACAGAATATTGATGATCTTAGTCTGGACTTTGTTCCTCAGTTGCTGTTCCCTCATAGATTGAAAAATATAGCTAGTTTAAATTGTCAGATAAAACTCAAAGATTATTTTTGTGTTCATATCAATTCCACATGATATTGTCGAGCAAGGTTTTGCATCTAGTTAGCAAGTATTTATCTCTGTTATAGTCAAGCTTATTGTATTCATTCATGAAATTATACAGGATAAAAAGCAGCTATAAATAAAAATATGGTATTTTGCATGAGATTGTTGAATTGTGCATGTCAAATATTTACATAGTTCCAAAATTGTTCATCTGTATTTTGTAGTGTTTAGTCTACCTTTAAGGTCTTAGAATGGCATAAGTTATTAAATTAAATAAAGTCTGTTTAGTTTGTGACAAGTTTTGTTCTTTTTTATTTTCTTGCTCATCATTTTTCTATGTTCTGTTTAGATTGGCAGGAGGATCAGTCAGATAACCAGTCTGATTACTCGGTGGCCTCAGAAGAAGGAGACGAGGACTTTGATGAGCGTTCTGAAGGTAAGCTTCACTCTGTTGATTGCTGCTGCAGGGGATGGGGTCGTTTGTGTGAGTATTTGCTTCACTCCTAAACTTGATAGTCATTTTCCCAGTGAATCTGAAAGTTGCTCAGTGTGAATCTTTAAGTTGGATTTATGTTGAGGAAACTATCAGCATCTTAAGGTTGAAGCTGACGTTCCTTTTGGAAATCTCTTTCCTTCAAAAACTACGTGTCACTCACTAACAGCCTTCCAACCGCCCCTGCAGATTTTTATCCAGATTCAGATGACACCTATGATATCCTCATCAACAACCTCTACAACCCAAGAAAGAGCATTTGTCACTGCATCATCTGCATTGAGCATGTAGAGAGAAGACAGAAAGAGAAGAAGAAAAGAAACAGGGAGATGGAAAAATAAAGTCAATGCTTTAATTAATAGATAAATTCCCTACTTTCTATTCTTACAACAGCTAATAAGTTTGTTAGTGTTTCTGAGCAAGAGAGTTTCTTGCGTTTTATTTATGTTGCACTTTATTTATTTTTCAAGAAGTTGTTTCATAAAATGTTCATTATTGTACTGAATGTACATTTTCTGTTCCACTCAATTATGGCTACCTCAGTTGGATTAAATGATAGATTCCCCTACAGTGCTTTCGGTTGTAAATTCTCTGAAAGCGGTACTCTTCCTAAGAAGCGGTAAATGTAAAAGTGTGGTGAGGTTTTGAAAAGGGACCGCTCCAGCAGGATCAGCAGTCAGCCGTAAGTGGACCATCTTCACAGAGAAATCCTAGGATCAGAATACACAACCATACATCATCTGCTTCATGCTTGTTCTTTATTGTCATTGCTTCTTTCTGTCGTTTGTTGCTAAAGTTTTCAACCTTCATTTCAGAGACTTAACTATTTTTTCTTCCTTGCAGCTAATGCTCGCAGACCTAATCGCAAAGGGCTGAGGAATGACAGGGACAAACCTCTGCCTCCGCTTCTCGCCAGGGTCGGGGGGAACATTGAGGTAAGTTTGGGCGTTTTCTACGCTTTTCTTTAGAGGAAAACAAAGAAAGAAGTTATTGGCTCATAATGGTATAAAGTAGCTTACTTTAGAAAACAAGTTTTAACAGTTTAATTTCCTTTCAGGTGTTGGGCTTCAATGCTCGGCAGAGGAAGGCCTTCCTGAATGCAGTTATGCGTTACGGGATGCCACCACAAGATGCTTTCACCAACCAGTGGCTGGTCAGGGATCTGCGAGGGAAATCTGAGAAAGAATTCAAGTGAGTATCTTTTTTTGTTCTTGCTCTAGTCTCACTTATCTGTGAAACCTCAATACTTAGTTGGCAGTAGCCTCATGTTCACATGAGGAAGGAAAGTTGCCCTTAATAAATGTTAATCAGTTTTCTACTGAGTTTTTGAAAATTAAGTGGCACAGCTTTTTATGTTTGGATATGTTTTGACAATTCAGAAATTGTTACAGGTGTAATTAAAACATGTATAAAAGCTTTGAACTTTGTCACCCATTTATTCAATTTTATTATATTTTCTCTCTGCATACTTGATTAATTTGTGGGTAACATTCTTAGGCATCCTCAAAATGTTTTAACAATGTCCCCCCGCATGTGTCTGCAGGGCCTATGTGTCTCTGTTTATGCGTCACCTTTGTGAGCCAGGAGCTGATGGAGCTGAGACTTTTGCAGATGGCGTCCCACGTGAGGGTCTGTCGAGGCAACACGTGCTTACTCGCATTGGTGTGATGTCATTGATAAGGAAAAAGGTAAGGTTCTAGTAGATCTAATTCAGTTCTGGTTCCAATGTTTGATGCACTACTGAGAGATAACTTGACATGTCATGCTTAACAGGTGCAGGAGTTTGAACATGTGAATGGTCAGTGGTCGATGCCCTGGATGGCAGAGCTGGAGGAGAACAAAAGAGCTGCAGCTTTGGCTGCAGGTGAAGACCTAAAAACTCCTTCGAGCGGGACCCCTGCAGACACCCAGCCCAATACACCTGTCCCAGGTAAACTAACACAAATAAATACTTTTGTCTCATTTATTGCAGGGATCCAAAACACAAAATGTCATTTGTTTGAATTATTTTCCTATATTTAGTATATCATTGCCTTACAGCAGTGTAGGATACATGCAGTGTATTTCAGACACTTATGTTTGTAAATTGATTTATCATTTCCTCTCAGCTCTAGCCTCAAGAACATTTAGCTTACTTGACCTCAATTTGTACTTACATAAACATAAGATGAATTTTAATCTTAGATTTCAGATTGTATCTTTAAATTAAACATTAATAAATTATTTTTCTTTGTGTCTGTCCCAGTGAAAGAGTTTCAGTTGTGCAGCAGAGCTTTAACCAGACTAATGCCCTCTTGTGGCTGTAACCAGAAAAGATACATTAATTGTTTAAGGTTTGAAATGTAAACTGTTACCAATGTTTATGACTAAGTAAACAAACAATAAATACTTATAAAAATAATTTATTGGCTTATTTTCTCCTTTTCAAGATGATTTCTCTAAATCAGACGATAAAGATGACGTGAAAAAAGAGGGGGACGATGGCAAAATTAAAAAAGGAGATGACTCTGAGGTATATTCTGCTTTATACTCATGTAAATACCTTGTGCATTTATTGCACCTATAGTGATAAGGATTTTAAGACTATTTTTTGAGACTGTGTTAAAATTCTGTCCAAAGATTATTGAAATCCCAGACGAGTCTGAAAAATCCCCCATTCGTGAAAAGAAAGAAGATGGTGCTGCAGAGAAGGAGGAGAAAGAAGAAGGAGATGCAGGGAAGGACAAGGAGGCTGAAGACGTGAGCAGAGAGAAGGAAAAGTTCAAGTCTTCAGCTGCAGCTGAGAGGGATCCTTCTGCGAACAACAAGGGTGAAAGTTCAGAGGGCAAGATGGACTCGGAAGAGGACAAGATTAGAGGTGAGACGGACAATAACTTTTTAAAATTTGTGTCTATCTTTAGTCACCTGGTTAGTCTTTATAGGTTGTATTAAATTATAATAACATATTTGAGATTTTAAAGCATTAAAAGTAATAAATGGGGATTTACAAGAAGAAAAAAACATCACTGATGATATTATACAAAAGCTGATCCTTTATTACCAACATGAGAAACTTCTTCATGGTGCTCTACTGAAAGACGAAGGGAGATGATTATTTTTTTCTTTGTGAGCATGTGTTTAAGGCCGTTAGCAAAATATCTCACAAACCACTGGATGGATTTTAGTGAGACTCCTAGAAAGTAATCAGAAACAAATTATAAAACGTCTGCATAACATGCATACAGTAACTTATCGTGTAAATGCAGCAGAAATAATAAAATATACATATATTAAACAAACAGAAACGATAGATAATACAGTAGTCCCTCACTATTTCGCGGCTCAACTTTCGCGGACTCGCTCTTTCACGTTTTTTTCAAACGCAAGATTTAAATCATGTCATCTGGACAAGTTTCTATAAGAAACTTAAACTTTACAAACGTAAGGTTGTAGCACGACACACGAATGGCTGATTCATGGAAGGCGACCGTGTGCTCTGTCCCAGGAGCTTATTGGCTCAGTAACCATAGAAGTCTGTCTGCTCTCTTTCACTGAGCTCTTTTGTGAAATTTACTTCAAGCCGTACGATAGCACCCAAACGTTCTGCGCGTTCTAACGTTTCAGGCAGTAAACTGAAGCACCAGCGAATGATGCTTACCATAAAAGAGAAGGTTGAGCTTCTGGACATGTTGAAGGAAGGAAGAACCTATGCGGATGTTGGCCGCCATTACGGGATCAACAAATCTACAGTTCGCTACATCAAGAAGGAGAAAAACATCCGGTCTATGGCAGCAGTAACTTTCAACACCACCGCAAAGAGGGTCGTTACTTCCCGCAACAAGATAATTGTGAAGATGGAACCTGCATTAGCCATGTGGATTAATGATTGCCGTAAAAAGAACATCACGCTGGATACAAACACCATCCGGACAAAGGCCAAACAACTTTATGATTGTCTGGCAGCAAAAAGGGACGATCAAAATAGCGACGAGGAAGAGGACAAAGAGGACGATGCTGAAGCAGGACATTCAAGTGCTTCGGCCACCGGACCAACCCCATTCAGTGCCAGCAAGGGCTGGTTTGACAAATTTCAGAAACACTTTAGACTTAAGAGCGTTCCTCTGCACGGAGAGGCTGCCTCTGCGGATACAGCAGGAGCCGAGGAGTATGTTAATACCATGTTCAAAGAGCTCATTGCAGAGGGGGGCTACAGGCCTGAACAAGTTTTCAACATGGACATAACGGGCTTATTTTGGAAGCGGGTGCCATCTCTCACTTTTATTATGAAAGATGAAGCCAAAGCCTCTGGTTTTAAGGCACCAAAACATCCGGTAACTTTGATCGTGTGTGGAAATGCTGCGGGCTTAATGCTAAAGCCAGGGCTTATTTATAAGTCCAAAAACCCAAGGGCCCTAAAAATCAAAAATAAGAGTGTGTTGCCTGTGCACTGGATGCACAATCCCAAGGCCTGGATGACGAAAGTCCTCACAACTAGTTGGTTCCACCACTGCTTTATCCCAGAGGTTAAGCTTTATCTGGCAGCGAAAGGCCTCGAGTTCAAAGTCCTTCTTCTAATGGACAACGCTGGAGGCCATGCTAAAGATCTGGAGTATCAGGGGGTCCAGGTAGAGTTCTTGGCACTGAACACCACATCACTCATTCAACCAATGGATCAAGGCATTATTTGGGCTTTTAAGGCACTTTACACAAATACCCTTCAAAGTCTTGTTGAAACTCTGGACTCGGGATGAAAACTTCTCTCTAAAGCCATACTGGTGTAACTACACAATTACAATGTGTCTCCAAAATATTCAGAAGTCCATAAACGACATTAAGACTGAGACTTTAAATGCCTGCTGGAAAAAATTGTGGCCAGAGGTGGTCCACGAGCACAAGGGCTTGTCTCCTGCTGAAATCCAACACTCTGCAGTTGACAAGGCTGTGAAGTTGGCAAATTCACTGGGAGGAGAGGGCTTCAGCGATATGACTACTGAAGACGTGAATGATCTGATCGACGTCAGTGTTTCCCCTAGATAACTTGCTATGGCGGGGCGCTCATCTCGTCCGTGATTTTTGTCTGGGGGGGTGGGGGCCTGGAACAGAGACTTGTTCTCAGCTGTGCAGCGCGCTGTTTAAACCAACAGTTTTGGGGGACACAGAAACAGCCGCGTGCTGTTTGTACTGACAGTTTTAGCGCAGGGTGTGTGAGAGGAGAAAGACAGATATATCTCACTGTCTGAACGCTGTCTGAACAGACAGGTTTTTTTTTTGGCGGGGGGGTCGGTGCGGGGGAGAGACCGATGCGCATCTGAGCCGTGCTCTGTTTGTACCGACAGTTTTCAAGTGGCGGGGGTGCGTTCTGCGTGAGGGTTCAGCATGAAGGAAGAGGCTGCCTTTAGCTTTTTAGCTAGTGCACCTGCATTGCGAGCTGCTAGTTTAGTGTTACGTCAGTGCAGCCAATGGGGTGGGGGGCGGGGTTCGGTTGACGGGGCACTCGGTTCTGTTGATGGGGCGGGGCACCCCGCTTGTATAATGGTAGGGGAAACGCTGGACGTGCATGCTCAACCGTTGACGGACGAAGACCTGGAGGAACTTACAAAGTCAGCAAGTGAAGAAGAGGAGGAGGAACAAGATGAACAACGTGTGGAAGAGGAGGAGTTTGGCCTGACACTTGATTGTCTTGCAACCGCAGCCAGAATGTCCGAAGACCTTCAGCGAGTGATTGAAGAACGAGACCTCAACATGGTTCGTTCGTTGCAGTTCGCAAATGCATTCGACAGTGCTGTCACCTTAAAAAAAATCATTCTCGCTCAGAAGAAGAAGCAGCGCAGCAACTGTCCATTACAATGTTCATCACTCGAACGAAGAGATCTGTTATGCCAACATCTGTTACGCCAACATCTGTTACTCCAACATCTGTTACGCCAACATCTCTAGCAGATGTAGAAGTTACGTCTGAGGTCCAAGATACTGCACCACCTGAAGGAGCGCCTGAGGAAGTGGTGCCTTTAGGAGAGCTGTTAATGCACTTCTTGGCAGTGCAGTACACATCCAACTTCATCACCTTCATCGTCATCAGTACTGCACAGCTAATACTTCATCTTCATCTCTTCTTCATCTTCACTGGTGAGTACTCATATAAAATTAAAATATTTCAAAAGGTTTAAAAGTTTAGAAGATTGTTAAGAACATTGCAAGAGTGTGGGAAGGGTTTATAAAGCCTTAAAATATATAAATACTAAAATAAATATAGCGTTCCTACTTCGCGTTTTTTCACCTATCGCTGGGGTCTCCAGAACATAACCCCCGCGATAATCGAGGGACTACTGTAAAAACAAATGGTCAGACTTATGGCCTTCCCTTTAATAAGTTTGAAAGATGACCCAACTTTCAAAATATTAGCAAATTTGTACATTTCTTCAAAACCTTTGGTATTTTAGTTTATTAATTTTAATTCATTATGCCTCTTGGCTATCAAGCCAACACAAGAGTATTAGTTTTTGAGTCCAGGAATGTACAAAAAAAGGTTTAATCCCCCCCAAGGTTCAAAAAGGGCTGTGTGAGCAGTTGTCTGTGTACTGCATGTATGGTATGGTAAACAAAAGTATACAAACTGTACGAGAATGACATTACTGGTATTCTTTCTTTTAACTGGTGGGATTTTTTTAAACGTAATTACAAAAACCCAAGGACAAACATCTGTGAGCTAACATACATTTAGTCTGTCTTTTATTTTAATTTATCTTTTCTTTTTTTAGCCGAGGATGGCAAAGATGAGAAGATGGACTCGTTACAAACAGAAGAGAAAAAAGGTCCAGACAAACTTTAAACACTAGTTACACGTAGCACTTGTAACAGCTGATGTCATTTCTGATAGTTTCAGGAATATGCAACATGTTTATATACAAATCTACAAATATAATCTATAATGATTTAGAAAATTAAGTTGAAAACGAAAAAAATAATTATTGCTTAGTATTCAAGAGCTTCTTTTTTCACCCCTTGCAGAACAAAAAGAGGAGAAGGATGGTGTAAAAACAGACGAGCCTGGACAACTGCAGAACGGAGAAAACGCCAAAGAAGGAGGGACGGCTGCGTCCGCGATCAACATCAGCGAAGAGAAGAAGAAAGCCACCAAGCAGAGGTTCATGTTCAACATCGCTGATGGTGGATTCACAGGTGAACACCTTCTCCTTTCTCTCCCCTGCTTTTCTGCTTTATTTCTGCCTGTTTTCACCTCCCTGCCCTCCTTCCCCCTCCCTCAGAGCTTCACTCCCTGTGGCAGAACGAAGAGAGGGCCGCCACCGTCACTAAGAAGACCTACGAGATTTGGCACCGTCGCCATGACTACTGGCTGTTGGCTGGAATCATACAGTATCCTTTCAAACAGGTGTCTATTGTTCAACGTAGTTTGCATAAATATCTGTTGTCATTTCCTCACTTTGGGGTTATTATGTATAAGGGTTTATAGATTTTTGTGTTCTCTGTTTTGTCGAGTTTATTTTTCACATACTAATTATAAATTTTAACGTTTTTGGCGGTACTGTTCCCACGTCATTTAGTCATGCTGTCATTAAGGAGTTTGACAAGTTCAAACAAATATAAAATAAAAAATAAGATTGTTTTGCCACAACATCAGTGAGTCATTAATTAAAACACCTAGTCTATGCATAAATTTCACTTCAGAATTGTTTACCTTTAGCATTTTTAATTCATATTTAATAATAAGGAATGTAAGTTATTTGTAGCTCTAATGCCCCTTTTGCACCGCCTCTAATAAGCCCCAATTCTGGGCAGCCCGCCACAGAAAGAACCCTTTTGCACCTGCCCTTTAGCTAGTATTTTTAGCTGATTTGAGGCTGATTCAGGACCTCTTTTCGTTCCTGCTTCTCTGGTGGGACCGAGCGAGCTCAGCCGAGCTGAGTCCGGACCAAACGTGAATGCAGGACTCTGATTGGTCAGGGGGAGGAGTCACTGGATCTCAGAAACTTTTCACTGAGCCGCCATTTGCAATTTCTCTGGATGCGGAGCAGCGGCTGCATCTATTTTTAAGATTTAAAAAACAATAATGACAACGCCGTGTTTAATTCTGAAGTCCAGGTGTATTTTGTGTTTGGTGACCGACTATAAAATTCGAGCAAGTGGTGTCACAGCAGAGGATCATACGAGCTGCCGAGCCGTTGAAGCCCGTGAGGCCGAACCCCGAGCCCCGGCCTTGCCTGCTCACAAAGGCCAGATTCGAGCCCTGGCAGGCGAGAGGACCGGGATGGAGGGACGGGGGGGTGGAAACTTTTTTTTTTTAATTTTTAATAAAACTAAGATAATAAAACAATTATAAAACAAAGACACGACTAGCAAAAAACATAAAACCGTTGTAAGAAAAAGAAATGCTAAAACAAAGGTTAAAAAGACAAAATTACTTAAAAATCAAATAAAATACCATAAATGTGTCTTTTGTCATCTGGTTATTATCAGGTTTAAATTATGACATTACATTTTACACTGTGTTATTATTTATGTAACAACTGAACCTACAGTTCATAGCAGTATAAACAATCAAAAGCTTTTATACAAATTAAGAGGGTAATTAGCTGCTAAGTTTATCTAATTAAATGCAGCATTTGACTGTGTTCTTCATGAATGCTTTTCCCCCTAAAGATTGTAGTAAAGTAAATACTTCTATAAATCATTCTCTTTGTATATTGCACTGCAGGTATTGTTTCACACATTTTTAAGGCAATTGTTTTATTTGAAAATGGGTGTTATGGGGCTTCATTGACCTGCTGTGCTCATTTTTCTCAATGATTGTGTAGAGTTTTTCCTTTAAATCAACACACTGCCAGTCATTGTGTCAGTTACAATTAATGTTGTAAAATGATCGTCCTGAAACAGCAGTGCTGTTGTTCTTGACTCTGGTGTCTCTCAGACATGGTTATGCTCGATGGCAGGACGTGCAGAACGATGTGAGGTTTGCCATCATCAACGAGCCCTTCAAAGGAGAGATGAGCAGAGGAAACTTCCTGGAGATCAAGAACAAGTTTCTGGCTCGCAGGTTCAAGGTGAAACAAGTGCTCGAGTTCTGCAGAAATCCCCTCTGCTGTCTGTTTGCGTCATGTTTCACTGGTTACTTCTTGTTTGTTTGTTTTGTGGTTTCCTAAAGTTGCTGGAGCAGGCGTTGGTGATCGAAGAGCAATTACGCAGGGCGGCCTACCTGAACATGACAGAAGATCCGGCTCACCCCTCCATGGCTCTCAACACTCGCTTCAGTGAGGTAGAGTGTCTCGCTGAGTCTCATCAGCACCTCAGCAAGGAGTCAATGTCTGGAAACAAGCCTGCCAATGCAGTGCTTCATAAAGGTAAGTTTAGTAAAGCACTCAGAGGGTTTTCATGTTCTCTGATCTGTCCTCCACAGGTATCATTACTGACAGTCTGTTTATACTGCATATCATTTTTCTCTTATAACACATTAAAACTAATATGTCGATTAAAGTTGTCTTTAACCTAAATCAGTTGTTAGGGTCAGCTGGGGTCAGGACCGCAGTGTAAGTTGGGAAAGGAGGAGGTCTTGAGATCTCCATCTTTATCTTCTACTGCGTATCCATGGTCGATTCATGAATGCAACAGGTCCAGGAGGGAAACTCAGACTTCCCTCTTTCCAGCGACATTCTCCAGCTCCTCCTGAGGACCCCAATGCATTCCTAAACTAGAAAGGATATATAATCCCTTCAATGAGTTCTGGGTCTCTTCTCAATAAGACATAAGAACTAGGGATGGGTCCGATCCGATCCCGTATCGGTATCGGCCTCCGATACAAGCATAAGTTATTAATCGGATTTTTCCGATCCAACATGCCGATCCTTCTGATCCATGATGCACGTCTGTGTCTGATGACCTGCTCTGCAGGTTGGCTTCAAACTATGGAATGGATTTCCTGAACGGAGGCGTGTCTCATGAAGCCAGAGTAATAAGACCCGCCTCACATTCAGGAAATCCCTGTCATAGTTTGCAGCCAGCTAAAACATGAGTAAATACTCTTTTGAGGGCTGAGCACTGAGCAGCACTGTTGCTAACGACTAAACAACTTTTCATCGTAACATGTCCGCTGTGTGGAAGTATTTTATACCAACACCACAAGACAGCAACGTGCAATGTCTGCAGAGCCGCTGTACCGAGACGGGGAAGCTCGGTCGCGACCTACAATACATCAAACTTAATAAACATTTGCCAAAGCACCACATTAAAGCGCACAAGGATTGTTTAGCCAGGCATCGCGGTAACGTTAGTTTTACGTTGGACGTTTGAGCTCCGTGGCTTCAATAGTGTTTTTCTCTGGTTCAATCCGGAGCAGACAGTCTGATTTCGGTCAGCCGTGCTCAGTCTGCTCGTCTCGGAGGAGGAGCAGACTGAACGTGGCTAACTGAAATCAGACTGTCTGCTTCACAGCTTGATTGAATATTTGCAGCCAAGATATAGTTTACGTTTACCCTCCAGGAGTTATTTATCAGCTTAAGATGAGAGTTCTGTGATGGAGTTAAATAAAAAAAAATACTGCATTAGAGAGAAAGAGTGCAATATAATAATAACAATAATAATAAGTCAAAAAAGGTTAAAAAAATTGTCAAGAAGAGAAGTAAAAAAGTAGTTTTGTGTATTAAGAGCAGGCAACAGCTAAGCTGTATATCAATAGTGATATGTATATGTTGATGGAAAGTACAAAAGAAAAATTATGTAAATACACATTTTTTAATTTTGAGCAGCAAATGTCAAATATGACTCTGCAGACATAAACACATTTTGTTTTTTAGTTTGAGCCAGAAACATTTTAGGATACAAGCAAAGAAAAATTACTTTGATTATTTGTAGCACATTGTGAGATTTGGTTTCATGTTACAGCTTTTAGATACTATCATTAGTAAAGGATGTGAAAGTGTTTCTGAGATTTATAATGTCTGAATATAGTGGAAAAACTAGAATCCAACCTTTTTTTATAATCTAAGTGGATCTGTTCTAATGAGTCAAGAAACTAAAATATGTATCCAAAATTATAGTTTCTTTGTAGGGAGCATAAAAAATAAACAAATCGTCACAAGAGAAGCCCTACAAGTATGTTTTCTGCTGTGGCTCAGTTGCATATTAATATCAGGGTGTGTCTTTGTTCCACAATGATCTCTTGTTGTGTTGAAACGTGGGTAGAAACCTTTAACCACTTCTCTAATTTCCCTGGTTACACTGGATATGTCAGAAGAGAATTAATAATAGGAAATCTCATTTACTGAAAATATGTTTTTAAAAAAACAACCTTATTAAATGCCAAAAAATGATGACAATTAATTGTTAGTGCTGCATAAAAGGAAAGTTTGCTTAAAACTAATGTAGCACACTATGATTATTTTAAATTAAATTAGAATTGTAGCATTTAATTTTTATAAATCCTAATTTTGCTTCATAAACAACAACATTAAAAACAGCATACTAACAGGAACCGTTTTGTTGTTTTATGTTTCCAGTTCTCAAACAGCTTGAGGAACTACTGAGTGACATGAAGGCCGACGTCACTCGACTTCCAGCAACCATCGCCAGGATCCCCCCCGTGGCCGTGCGCCTGCAGATGTCTGAGAGGAACATCCTCAGCCGACTGGCGAGCCGGGGCCCCGACTTGGGGGCCCAGAACCCGTCGCAAACCTCACAGCAAATGCAGGTGCAACGCTGATCGGTCACATCGCACCTGTCACGTTCACTGACCGGAGCTGAAAACTCTCACCTCACCGCCATGTAGCAGATGTCCTCCCCTTCAAATGCCATGTACAGAACAGTCAGGTTAGTTATCCTCACTCTGTGCCGAAAACACACCTCCAGACTCGAAAGCTGCTTGACGCGGTTTTGAAAAAGCAGGCTGGACTGAAGATGAATGGAGGGTAAAAAGAAGAGCCACTTGTCTCTCTGCAGACTAAAATAAAACAAACACTTCTCCTTCTGGGATCAGATTCAACTCTAGTCCTGAACACTGAACTGTAGACAGCTCCTTTTATCTGTCCTGGCTGCAGGGTCAAACGTGTAACATATGTATTATTAAATAGAGGAGGGTGGACCGGGGCAAAAGCAGCATGTTTGAAGATTCTCGGTGCTTTGTATTAACTTTTAGATCATTGACGAATTTGAAGGATTTTACTGTGTTGTCACCTTTAGGAACTCGTGAAACCACAGTTTTCTTAGAAGTCATTTAGCAGAGATGTCGTCACGATGCGTTACTGGTCTGTGTGTTTAAAAAGAAAAGTTTGTGTTTCATGTATATGTAATAAACGGGGCATAATAATGTGCATCTCTACTGCAGGATGCCCCGCCGCTGAGAGACTGTTACTGTTGTCACATCAGTCTGTCAGATCTGTTACCGCTTCTCGTCTTTGTCCTGCCTCCTACTCCATCAGTCAAGCTGATCTGGGATCAGCTTTCTGTTCTCACACACTAGTTGCCCCTCAAATTCATTCAACTGAGAAGTTTCCTAAAATGTCTGAAAGAAAAACAGCTTTTTGGTACATGTGACAAGTTTTTGAGAATGATGGCAGTCTTTAAGTTTATTTAATTTTCTTCCTGTCGAGTTGTTATTTTCATTTACGTTATAAAATTAGTTTTTGTTACCATTTTTGTTGTTTTTATTGTTACTGTTTGTTTTTATGGACTACAATAAAGTATCAAACGTTTATCAGTCTTTTTTTCTTTTTTGTTTCCTTTGACTTTTGTGTTTGGCAAAGACGTGCTTTAATAGGGGATTTTTTGCAAGCCTTGTTAAATTCTTGTCTCATCGATTATTTCTGTAAACGGACTCTGCAAATCTCTGGATCTGCAGGAAGAATAAACACCACCTGTGAGGTAAGAATGTTCACTTTATTGATTAAACTATTGTAGAGGAGAGCATTACTTTAAGAGAACCGGCTAAAGGTGTTCAGCTGCACTGACATTTTGGCTATAGTTTAAGTATAAATTCATTCTTTAAGCTTATAAACCTTGCATGTTTGTTCATGTCAGTTATTTAGCTGCTGCTGATACCGTCCAGTTGAGTGCAAATGTTCCGACAGCCCACACACCGAGCACCAAGAGCGCAACTTGCTTTGCATGCAAGGCTAGAAGGATGAGGTGGAATTTACATGGAAGCAAATGCAGATTTGTTGGACAGATAAAAGCAGCTAAAACCGTCCTCATGAAGCAGGTTGTGAGAGGAAGATCTGGAAGAGGGGTGTGGTGATGGTGGTGAGGGCGGGCAGGAACAGGCACATTTTCTCCCATAGATATCACGGTAATTAGGAAAAATTAGAGTAAATTACAGGGTGAGAGGAATAGCTGAACTTGATGTCTTATCATGAAAGAGCTGAAGATTTAGCTCGAGCCAAACTGGAGAAAATGAAGACAAATGTGTGTAACTTGGACTAAAATACACTAACTTATTTGTATAACCTGACTCTTGAATCTGATTGTGAATCGAGGTGGAGAAACCCTAAAAATCACCTCATTCAGCAACTGGCTAGAGACAACTCCGCACTTCCTGGTCCAGATGAAACTAACTTCCCATTTATCCTGGGAGCAGAGAGGAGGCAACACAATGTCTTGTGGGTGAGTTATTATTATTTTACTGTATTTTCCTTAGGTGTTCACTCTTGTTGCTGGTATGTTATGGTGTTCTGTTTATTTCCAATTATACAATCCCACGTTTTATTGTTGTTTTCCTTTTTGTGTTTTCCTGCTTTCTGTTTTTAATTTCTGCTTAAACAGAAACTTTATGCAAGTAAATTAACTCAATATCAGACATTTGTGATGAAACTTGATTTAAAAAATAAAGTTGTACTGTGATCAGGCAATTTACTAATACTTTCAGAAATTTGTAGGAAAGTAAAACTCCCTAAAGCACTTTTTACCACTGCATATATTCACAATTTTATTCACTCAACATTTTGCTTTTACATTTATAGTAACAAATAAAAATAATATAATAATGTAATATAGTTGTTGAAAAAATTCTGAAAAGGTAATATTGAAATTTGTTAATTACCAATATTGTGAAATTATTGTGTATTAGGACAAGAATAACATCCAAAATATACTAAAAGAAAAGCAGACGGTAATTTCAGTTGACTTTACGTCTTAAAATACACAAAACTTAAAAAGTTTGAACAATCCTTTAACGAGCATGTTATTTCAAAATAACAAATATAAAATACTCTAGTAATGCTAAATATTTCAGTTAATTTATTAAACAATGACTAAATGTGTCTTTATAAAATACAAAGCTCTCTACCATATGTTTGTGAGAGGAAAATACCTTTAACTCTTTAACAGCCATGAAGAGAAATACACAAGTGTGTGTGTGTATATATATTAGGGATGCACCGATCCACTTTTTCTTACTTCCGATCCGATCCCGATACCTAAATCTAAATATCGGCCGATACCGATCCAGTTCCGATATCATGATCATCATTGATTTTATATGAGGCTGTAATAATCTCCTCCCAAGTACAATTTGTACAAATATATGCATGCATGTCCAAAAAGGCAATTTGAGGTAAGTTTTATTAATGTTGGATAAGTTTTAAAGTTAGAATTAAATTCTGCTAACACAAAACATGTTTCTTTTGATTCCTAGTTTTAAAGTGGATATTAAAGTGATTAATTTAAGTGATTGTTTAAAGTTATTTTATATTTTTTTTAATAAGGGGCAGATATAAGAATTATTTTTCTTCTTTCTGCACTCTTTTCATTCAATGTTTTCGTTGATGATTTTTTTTTTAATTTTGTTTCTTTTAAATGAATGAATAAATGAATTAAATAAAATGTTAAATGGAGAGTGGTGGCGCAGAGGTTAGAAGATGGGCTTGTGATCGGAAAGTCGCAGGTTCACCTCCCGTTACCGACAACATCAAAATGTGGGTGGAAAAGGTGAAACACTCACACCTCCCTCCACCCTCATTCTCCCCACTCTGGGCCCCTGTGCAAGGCCCTTAACCCCCACCATCTGCTCCCTAAACAGGTCTCTCTTGAAAATGAGTTCTCAAGGCTCAATGAGACTACCTGGATAAATAAAGGCTAAATGGAAAAAAAAAAAATGGCTTCAAACACCTGGCATAAACCAACAGGCATGTTCATGGTTTTAGTATTTTAACCCATTTTATATTGTAGCTGTTTTTGTTTTTAATATAATTTTCAAATCATGTTTTTTATGATTGTCTACTGTTGTACTGATAAATATCTCCTGGAGGGTAAACTATATCTTGGCTGCAAGTATCAAGCTGTGAAATCCTTCGTTTTCTACAACTGATAGTGGTTGTTCATGAATCATGATGAAGTTTAGCAACTTTTCTGTAAACATTTGAGCTCCGTAGCTTCAGCGATGTCTTCTTCTTGTTCAATCCGAAGCAGGCAGCCTGATTTGGGGCAGCTGCACTCAAGTCTGTCCCTCCTCAGAGACGGGCAGACTGAGCGGGGCAGATTGGACGCGGCTGGCCGGGGTCGAGTCGCCTGTTGTGGGTTGAGCAAAGAGCAGCGCCCGCTGAAGCCACGGAGCTCGAATGTCCATCGTAAAACTAACTTTACCACGGTTTAATGTGGCGCTATGGCTCTGCAGACATTGCACGTTGCTGTCTTGTTTTGTGGTGTTTCTAGGGTAAAATACTTCTACACAGTGGACATGTTTAGATGAAAAGTTTGTTAGCTGTTAGCCACAGTGCTGCTAACTCAGTCCTCACGTTGTAGCTGGCTGCAAACTATGAAATGGATTTCCTGAATGTGAGGCGGGTCTTATTACTCTGGGTTCATGAGACACGCCACAGTTCAGGAAATCCATTCCATAGTTTGAAGCCAACATGCATCAACATGGATCGGAAATATCGACAGGTGGATCGGAAAAATCCGATACGTAAATTATGCTGGTATCGGAGGCCGAAACCGATACTGGATCAGATCGGCCCCATATATATATATATATATATATATATATATATATATATATGTGTGTGTGTATATATATATGTGTATATATATATATATGTGTATATATATATATATATATGTGTGTATATATATATGTGTATATATATATATATGTGTATATATATATGTGTATATATATATATGTGTGTATATATATATATGTGTGTATATATATATATATGTGTATATATATATATGTATATATATATATATGTGTATATATATATATGTATATATAT